ACGAAGAGAATGACATTGGTCCCGCCGGAATCGGAAAAAGTTCATTTTCCGGCGACTTTGACCGGCGGGCGGCGGCGGCGGGGCCTGGAAGAAAAGAAAAGAAGAAATGGGGTCAAATTGAAAATTTTAAAATATATAAAATTCGAATTTGGCCCTAATGACCGGAAGTTAACCTAGAAACGGGCTAATGGCTCATTAGTGAAAGGATTGTGTAAGTTCAGGGATTTTTGTGAAAGGATTTGAAGTTCAGGTACCACTTCGAAATTTCAGCTAAAGTTCAGGTACCATTAGTGAAATTTACCCATATTTCATACTATATAATTTTATCAATTTAATGCTACTATTCAAATTAATAAATTGATTATAACTTAATTCATACTCCGTATATCATAAATAACTTATTTATATACTCCGTATATAAGAAGTATTTATTATATATATATATATATATATTAAATTTTCAAAAATGTTTGAACTACTGGTTCAACCATTCGAACCACTGGTTCGATCAGTGAACCAATACCTTGACGGGTTGGATCGCTGTTCTGGAAACTATGATTTGGCATAAGATAGCCGATCCCCTTATTAAACTTTGGCTTAAGGCTTAAGCTTTGGAGAAGCCCTAAAAGTGGAGCGAGGCCTAATCAATGAAATGGACAGCTGCTGCGGCGAGAATACGTCGCCGCCGGCGATAGACTTGCAAGACGAAGGCTCAACTCCGGCGAGATCAAGAAAGCTGATTGAGGCATGCCAGGAGTGGGGCTGCTTCAGGGTGTACAACCACCATAGCATCCTCCCGCTGTCGCTCGCGATGGAGATGAAAGAAGTGGTGAGATCTCTGTTCGATCTTCCGCCGGAGGTCAAGCAGAGGAACGCCGACGTTCTCCCCGGCGGCGGGTATGTGGGCCCGACTCCGACCAACCCGCTCTACGAAGCTTTTGGGCTTTATGATATGTCATCTCCTCCAGATGTTGAAGCCTTCTGTGCCCAGCTCCACGCCTCACATCACCAGAGGTCTCTTCTTTCTTCCTCTTCTTCATGAATTCGATTTAAATTACTTTTTTATTCAGAAAAATCAGATAGTTAAATTTTGAGGTTTGCTGGTTTGATTTCAGTAATTTTGACACTTTTACATTAAAAGCTACGCAAAATTTACTTCGAAAAAACAGAAAAAAATCACAAGAATACTCCAAGAAGTGAATGATTTTATGTTAATACGTAGTACTTCGCAATTTAAGTATTTAACAATTGAAGTTAATTCTTTCCAGAAATGCACATATTTACAATATTAATTGCCAAATCAACTAAGGCTGCGTTCCGTTCGTATGATCTGATAAGATTTTTTGAAGATTTGGTCTCATCTGATTATAATAAGAATAGGTAATAATCAGAAAAAATAAATCGAATGGAACACTGCCTAAATACGTATCATTTTAAATGCTGACTGGACAATTAATAAGTTTAAGTTGGAAACTATCTTATTTGTCCTGGAAAGATCTTCTCAAATGCTTTTTTTGTTCGGGAAAGATCTTCCCAGTTGTAATTGCATTTCAATTTTTTATCCAATTTTTCTCGGGAAAGTGCCAACTCAGTTCAAATATGCTAAGCAACTCATGAAGATAGATGCGCTAAAGTTCTTCTTATTTCTAAATTACTCATATTTCTATAGGATAATGCATCAGTCATATGAAGTTGATCAACAATTAAATAAAAACTATGTTGCTTATTCGATACAAGAAAGTGAGTATACTGACATCAATAAGTAGAAATTTTTGCAAAAAAAGAAAAACTTTATCCAAGGAGACTTACTGCAGAGGGCACACATCGTATGGGAGTGCAGTTGTTGATCGGTCATCATTTTGGCTATCTTCAGGTCTTTGAGACCTTGAGGAGTACAAAGGACAGACATTTAGCCGAGTCAATTTTCCAACTCACGCATTAGCGATTTAGGTACACCTATGTCTCTTGTTCATTCTTGTTATAAGAAGAAAAGAAGTGAAAATTTCATTTTAGTCAAATGAAAAAAGGTGAGAATTTACTAGGTGACAAAAGAACATATTTTTCTCATACTCTATTAAATATATTCTCAATCGTACTAAAAAAAAATTCTCAACCGTAAAACATATGTTCATCTCGTCCTTTTCAACCAAATTAGATAATGGTTGATTATCAATCAAATTAAAAAAGCATTATATTAAATACAAGTAATAAAATAGTTGATTAGAAAACAAGTCTTAAAAATTCATTTTTGTACTCCACATTGGATAATCAACATAATTTTTATTTAATTATTGATCAAGTTCGTAAGACTAATGCATTATCCTATAAAAATACGAGTACTTTTGAAGTAAACATGTAGCGCGGGTAGTATTTTTTTTAACACTATTTTTTAAATATGAAGCCCATCATTGTAGATTTTTCCCTCACTATTTATGAGTGATCTTAATAATTCTTAATATTCATTTATATATGACCCACCATTGTGATTTGCTTCTTATTTTATATAGAGAGACAATAATGAGGTATGCAAAAGCAGTGCATGAATTGATGATAGTGATTGGGAGGAGATTATGTGAAGGGTTGGGCTTGGAAGGGGATGATCGTTTTGAAGGATGGCCTTGTCAATTCAGAATAAACAAGTACCATTTCACCCCCGAGAGCATTGGCTTGTGTGGGGTGCAAATACACACGGATTCCGGATTTCTTACCGTACTTCAGGACGATGAGAGTGTCGGTGGGTTGGAAGTCATGAACAAATCAGGCAAATTTGTCGCGGTCGATCCCTGTCCTGGTACCCTACTACTTAACCTTGGAGACATGGCAACAGTAAGTATAATGTTTTTTTTCATTTCTTAGAGTTGTGGACCATAAGTTCTTTACTCTGTTATGAACATAAAAAATGGTGAAAATTAGTTTGAAGGAGTCCTAAATATATGCCAACAATTAATGCCAATACTCCTTTTTATGTGATAAAAACATAGGATGCCAACAATTATGCTTCTATGTATTAAAGTTTCTTCTCTTCAATTTATTTTTATTATTTACTCCTTTCGCCCCACAAAACATTTCTTGTTTTGATTTTTAAAAGATTTAAGAGGAGTGTATTTTGGTGTTGACTTTCTAAAAATGTCCATGGATGTGATAAGTAAGAGTAGATGTGATGAGTAGATTAATAGTGAAAAAGTGTGATCTGATGAGTAGGTAAATAATTAGTAGGGATAAAAGTGACTTTTTAATAGAAATGAGAAAAGTTTTTTGGGACGGATGAAAAAAGAAAGGAGAAAGGTTTTGTAGGATGCAGGGAGTATTATTTATTCTTATTAGAATCAGATAAAAAACAACTTTAAATATAACTACAATCAGACCATATCACATTTGACCGTAATAACGCCAGATCAGATCAGACGACCAAGAGAACAAGCTCTACGTTTTATATTTCGAAATTTGAGGAAACTTGTTTGTTTGGTTGGTTGCAAGGTTTGGAGCAATGGAAGATTTTGCAATGTGAAGCACAGGGTGATGTGCAAGGAACCAACCGTTCGGTTTTCGATTGCTTCATTCCTTTTGGGTCCGAGGGAGGATGCCATACGACCGCCACCGGAGTTGCTAGAGCCGCCTCATCTCCGGCGACTATATGTTCCCATCACCTATGATAAACTTAGACAGCTCCGGCTAGACAACAACATGCGTGCTGGTGAAGTTCTTTCCCTTTTGTTGGCTGAGAATTAGGGTTTTTTCTTTAGGTGACCCAAACTTAATTCATATTGTTGTACTCCGTATTATACAAGGTAAAAGACTAAAGTAGAAGTAGAACATTGAATATGTATACTAAAATAGAATTTTTATATTTTTAATTTCTAAATAGAGGTTAAAATATATTTACAGTGTCAATTATAACCATACACATTACCAAAAATACCATGAAATGTCCATGTCTTTACATTGGGAAATGTCCATGTCATTACATTGGAAACTATATGTAGTGTTAGATTGTTGAAGGAAACGTTAAGTGGTGTTTAGTTCTTGGAATATGTTGTAACACATCTCGATCTTACAAATAAGTAGTGTTTAGTTCTTTTAATCGAGCGATTTTCAATTCAATTTATTTTAAAAATTGTATAAAAAATAAAATATATATTAATAATAATTATATCAAAAGAATATGTGATGACTATATAACTTTTTCTAATGGATAACAAAATTATGGGAAAAATGGTTAAAATTTGATCTTGCGAATTGTGAACATGTTATTTAAATTTGGAAAGAAAGATTATCTTAGACAATGTATTTTTTTCTAAAATAAATAAAGGAAAAAAAATAAGAAACCGATTTTGATATGAATTAAAAGAAAATTATTGTTTTGTGGGATAGAGGGGTAGAAGTTTTGCTTTTTTCATTTTTGAACCTTTAATAAAAAAAATTCGTTTCTTTTTTTATATAAAAGAATTGTACAAATTTCACACAAATTTCAATTGCTAAATTTTAAATTTATATGAAATAAAATAAGAACTCAAATATGAGAGCAGAGAAGTACCATCTATTTATTAACCCATCCCCAAAAATGCAATGTTATTAAACCTGGACCGGACCGGCCGGTCCAACCGTTTGGACCGCGAATCGGACACAAATCCGGTTCGGTTAACCCACCCTCGCATTGACCCGTCCAAACCCGGAAGAACCGGCGAACCGGGTGACCCGGGTTGGCCCAGTCGGTTCTCGGGTTTAGACCAAAATGTCTTATTTGATTAAGAAGTCTCATTCCAGGTTTCGAACATGGCCACAACAGCTACACAGGAGAAACCTTAACCAAATGAGCTACTCAGCTTTTGCGAACAATGCCATGCAATGTTGAATATATTAGCTTCTTAAACTATTTAGAGAGTAATTTTAAAAAAAAACTTCCAATTATTAAAAAAAAGAACTATGTTTATATAATATATTTATATCGTTAATTTTTTAAGTAGTTCAAACTTATATATAATTAGTATTATTTATTTTTTATCTTAAGAAAACTATAAATAATCTATACTTAATGTATTATTCTTTATCTTTAAATTATTAACTACGAAGTATAATTTAATATGCCGCTTTTTATATTTTCAATCATTTTAATCAACTAAATATAAATTTTACTTCGTAAAATGTAACTAGTAAATAAAAACATATTATCTATTCTTTATTTTTCAAAAATAAAGAGAGTATTACCTTATAATTTAAGTGTGTGTTAGACACTCAATATTTAATAATAATAAAAATAATTGAAAAAAATAGAAATTGTGAAATAATATATAGGTTATCGAATTAAAACTAGATGGAGAAGTAAAAACACAATCTAAATACTTTTTTTAACTAAAATATCTAATGATATAATATAAAATATTACTCCGTAGCATTTTAATTATAGTTTGACCGGATCGTTGACCCGAGTTGACCTCGGTTCAACCGGTTAACCCTTGACCCAGTGCTATGTCCGAATCGACGTCCGGTCCGGTTTTCAGAATATTGCAAAAATGGACAGTAGCCTAATTGTTAGCTAATGCGTACTTGCTGATTCCCTACTTTCCTATATTGTGTTTTTGGTAACAAATATAATTATGACATGGCAAAATATTTTTTCATATTTAATAACAATACTCTATGATTTTTTGTAACTTTGTAAGCACTATGCATTAATATTAATTAATACTCCGTAATATGCTGAGTATTAATAATGTTTTGTTGGTGTAATCAACCATTTAGCATTTGTTAAGTTGATTAGTTACATAGTTTCTTAGTTAGTTAAGAAGATATTTTTAGTTGTTACTTTTTTTTTTCATTTTCTATACATAGGAGTTAATCATGTAATATAAGAGTTGAGCTAGTTAATACACTTAATTCCAACATGTTTAGTTTATTTATTTTGATCTGAGTATTTGAAAATACTTTCCTATATTTTTTTTGGTAAGAAATTATGACATATCCAAATTTCTTATCATATACTCATATTTGGGTTTGATTCCTCTCTCCCTATTTCCAAATATTCCCTCACTTCAGAATTTTTTTTTCTAATTTGACTTGGCACGGAGATTACTAAAAATTAAAAATTGTAAAAACTTTTCATATTTAACTCATTAAACATATATTGCCAAAATAGAAAACGGAAGAGAAATTTTTAGATGGTAAAAAAAAGAATGTGAAAAACATGTAACTAAAATTAGAATCCAATTAGGACTGAAGTTTTTATATCTATCTTATAAATAGGAATGTAACTATTTATAATAATCAATCAATTACTCAAAAATTACTTCTCCGTATATTATTTTATCATTAAATAATCAATCAATGGGCAGTATCAACGGAGTTTGGTCTAAATGCAAAGCGGGTTGGACTCGTTTAAGGGAGGTCTCCAGTCTAACTCTGTCCAAAAAATCGCCTCCTCCGCCGCCGCCGCCCGTAGATTCTCAAATTATTGCTAGATGGGCTGTCCGGGTCGAATCCGGACGTTATAAATCGCCGCCGCCGGCGATAGACTTACAAGACGGCCGGTCAAATCCGGAGATGTCAAGAAAGCTGATAAAGGCATGCGAGGAGTGGGGCTGCTTCAGGGTGTACAACCACCACAGCCTCCTCCCGCCGTCGCTCACGGCGGAGATGAAAGAGGTGTCGAGATCTCTGTTCGATCTTCCGCCGGAGGCGAAGACGAAGATCGGCTTTGTTCCTCCCTTCAGTGGGTATTGGCGCTCAACTCCGGAGAAGCCGGAGAACCCACTCCGCGAAGCTTTTGGGCTTTATGATATCTCATCTCCACCAGATGTTGAAGCCTTCTGTGCCCAGATCCACGCCTCCGACCACCAGAGGTCTCTTCTTCTTCTTCTTCTTCTTCAATTTGATTCACTTTTTGTTCAGATTTATCTGATACGGAGTAGTTTAATTGGTAACATAAAAGGTTTGGATAGTTCTTAATTGATGAATTTTTATTTATTTAACTATTTATTAACTCCGCATTTAATTTTTCACTATATAAGGTCCATTTGGTACACGGAATTGATGGAATTGGAATTAAAATTCTACGGATTCAATTCCATAGAATTGAATTCACCAATTCCAATTCATTTTTGCACTACTAATTCCAAATTCACATAATTTTTGTTCTACCAAACACGAGAATTGGAATTGAAATCCTCAATTCTAATTGCATAGTTGAATTCTGTGTACCAAACGGGGCCTAAATGTCTTTAAATGCAATTTCATACACAACAGCTATTTTGGAATAGTTGTGTTTGCCAAATGTTTTTTCACAAACAACTATCACAACCAGCCGGTCAGAAGAGCCAACTCTACCAGCCGTTTGAACCAGCCAACTCAAACAGCCAACAGCCAACCGCTAATCACCAAATAGGGCCAATATAAAAAAACACTAACAAGTAGCTCCACGATTAGTGAATTCTAACTGCAGAGCTCATGTACCATAAATACATTCTCTTCATGTCCGGAGAAGGGATCAAATCCGCAATACACAAAGGCATTCATATGCCTTTGCCTTCCTCATTATCTACTATTAGTCTTACTTGTTAATATTCATTTTGGTGAATTCTTGAGAAAGTTATCTTTGAACTTTGTTGCTTGTTTTTGTTTTTTTAAACAGAGAGACTATAGTGAAGTACGCAAAAGCAGTGCACGAAACGATGATGGAGATTGCGAGGAGATTGTGTGAAGGGTTGGGGGTGAAAGGGGAACTTTTTGAAGGATGGCCGTGTGCTCTCAGAATGTTTAAGTACAATTTTACCCCGGATAGCATTGGCTCGTGCGCGCTGAAGACCCACACAGACACTGGATTTCTTACTCTACTTGAAAACGAGGAGAGTGTGGGCGGGCTGGAAATCATGAACAACAAATCAGGCGAATTTGTCGCGGTTGATCCCTGTCCTGGCACCATCCTAATTAACATCGGAGACACGGCAGCAGTAAGTATAATGTTTTTCAGTTTTATGCATTGTTCTTTTTCCCAAAATATTTGGCACCATCTTTTCAGGGTTTCTAATCTAATATTTTGACTAAATATTTAAAAAAAATTGATATTTTGAAATTGCATTTCAAAATCAATCAAATGATATTAAGTTTACATTGAATTTGGTGTACTTTTCTACATATTATAGTAAAAGTTCATAACAAGTTTGACTAAAAAACTCGAACAGAGCACTAATTGTTGGTCAAGTGGAGCAATAAGGAGTAAGATATTTGTTCATATTTTAAGGGAAAAATAATCTCAGTTTTTCGTAGTCTTCTAAAATACATATCATGTTGTATTGTAATGCCAAGTAAGCCGATAATTAATACTTCTTGCACGGTTTGTGCCATTTTTTTACCCACTAATAGATCCCTAACGAGATTAGTATAATCGCGCATGAACTTGTTTTTGGCAAACCAAGATCATGTAGATTTTCTTATGCAATTTTTTTAAAAAAAAATTTCTCGAAAATCCACAACAATTTTTTTCCCTTAAAACGACACCACAATCTCAAATCAATTAATGTTATGTTCTCTAGTTTTCATACTTTGAGATCTGAAAAAAACAAAATCTTTGCTTGATTTGTTACCAGCTTTGGAGCAATGGGAGATTTTGCAGTGTAAAGCATAGGGTGATGTGCAAGGAAGCAACAGATCGGTTTTCTGTTGTTTCGGGCATTTTGGGTCACGGAGATTGTGTGATACAACCGCCACCGGAGTTGATAGAGCCGCCTCATCTCCGGCGACTATATGTTCCCGTCACTTACAATAGACTTAGAGAGCTCCGGCGAGACAACAAAATGCATGCTGGTGAAGTTCTTGATCTTTTGCGAGCATAGGAAGTTGAAGTGTTAGACCTTATGGTGTTTGAGTACAATTTTGAATACAATTTATTTTTCTCTTCTCTTTAGGGGTGTAAACGGATATTAATTGGATCGAATATGTCATTACCAAATCTATATCCGTTTATTTAATTGGATACTAATTTGGATACGGATCTTGACGGATATTAAAAATCAAAACAGTATCCGCATTCGTTGGATATCGGAAATATCTGTATCTGTTTCATATTTTTAAAATCAAATTAAGCAATACTTTAATTTTTAATCAAATTAAAGAGAATGTATTTATGGTACATGAGTTGTGCATTCACTAGTGATTAACTACATGTGAAATGCTTCCCACAATTGACTTAACTTTCTCCGTGTTATAATCGACGAAATAAAACATGAAAAAAAAATCAAGTTGCATAATTCATGACAAACCGACCATTGGATTGTTGTGAATTTTTATAATGTTTATATACTATTCCCACTGTTCCATTTTAATTGCATGTTTGCTTGTTATCGTAAACTTTTATGAGTAAAATAGCTAAACTACCCCTAAAATAAGTCACTCTTTCCCACCTTATCTTCTCATTCATCGTCACCCCTCTTAAAAAGTAATGACAATTTCGGAAAATCAACTTCATTTTTTATTTTCCTTAAATATGCCTAAAAGTCAAAACAGACGATTTAAATTGGGACGAATGGAGTAACATTCAATCTTATGGTCGGTTTCAAAGGAATTTAATCCGAGTCGAATACAAGATGAATGTAAGAAATGGAGAATATTAGGAGTTCTCGAATTTAATCCGACCATTGGATTGTTGTGAATTTTTATAATGTTTATATACTAACATTCAATCTTATGGTCGGTTTCAAAGGAATTTAATCCGAGTCGAATACAAGATGAATGTAAGAAATGGAGAATTTTAGGAGTTCTCTTCAATATATATATATATATATATATATATATATATATATATATATATATATATATATATATATATATATATATATATATATATATATATATATATATATATATATATATATATTCTCTTCAATATATAGATAGGTATATTTGATCCATTCAAGATCTAATATATGTTGATCCATTCTATATTCTTTTTTTTTTGGACTAATCAACCAATTAATTGAACCAATGAACACCCTTGGGAGGATTGGCTTGCACAAAACGTAGGAATTCAATAATTTACATTTCTCAAACTTCAATTTTTTTTTTGCAATAAATAACAATGGATCTAGTATTATCTCCTACAGTTTTATATCACACCTTAAGACCTAATCTCTCGGAACCTGTCACTCCCACAACCAGAGGGGAAGTAACCCAATTCTCCTTGCTCCTCCATGTCAATGACCCAAAAGCATACCCTTGTGTAGGGCCAACCACCTTAAACTCTAAGGTGAAGTTGAGCTTCTGACCATAGTGACCAAACACGAGTCGTCTGGGCACCACGGTCACATTGACTCCCTTCGGAGGGGACACGGACGCCTTGAACACATTCACTGGCTTGCCCACATTGGTCACTGTTCTAGTGACCCAAAACACGCCGTTAAGGGATGGGACTGTAATAGAGGGATAGTTAAGGGCAGACGGCGAAGGGAGTGTTTGGTCACAAGTGGAGTTGTCTCCAGTGATCAAGTGGAGGGACTTCTCATCATAACCAATTGAGCAAAGGAATGCTTTGTAATCTGTTGGTTGGGCGTCGTACACTAACCCGGGGTTAAGGACTATGGTTGGGTTAATGAAACCCGCACCGTAGTCGAACGCGTCTGCCCGTCTTCCATTGGGATCAACAGAGATTGGCTTTTGAAGCTTGTTCAGAACTGAAGCTGCATCAAACCATGGTTAAATGAGTTATGTAGGGTTAAAATGCAGTTTAATGTGTTTGACAATCCAACCAGCTGCATCAAAAGTAACGTATTCTAGTTTAAGTACAAATAAATTTTCATGAAATGTCAATAACACAGTTACATTTGCTTCCAAAAGAAAACATAAGAGGCATGTTTCACCAAGGTACACCTTCTAAACTTTGTAGGATATAAATATTGTGGAAAAAACAGGTCTAGCTTTATTTGTTAGTTTGACTATATTTTAACTTGTTTGGCACACATTTCTGAAAAAAAGAATTACATTAATGACAATAAAAATCACCACTTTTGTTCAATATGGGATTTTAGACAGAAAATTAGTTTTCAAAGACAGCTTCAAAAGTTTCAAGATTGGACTTCATGTCTATAAAGATAGGATGCAATCCATATTGCTGTAAATTTTCAAAATCTTGGGTCATTTTAGGTCGATGTTATGGTGTACGACGGGGATCTTTTGACCTTGGAACCCCGGTTCATATTATGACTCGAGACCCTTACAATGTTCCATTTGAAAAATTGATGGTTCCTACCCACCTAACCCCCAACCTAAAACCTACCCCCTGTCCCCCACCTGCCCACCCCACCGCAGCACCCCCTGCCCCCGCTCCTATTGGCTACAGTAGGGGCCTCGAGTCATAATATGGCCCGAGAACCTAAGGTCAAAAGAACCATTTCTTATGGTGTATCACCAATGGAGCTAACGAGTCATTATTGACAATGTTTTAGTTTTGAGAGAACAATGGACTAAATAAAAAAACATTAAACTTCGCTTGCTTCGCATTTCGTGTAAAATTTCAGTTAGCAAATGCATCAATGCATTCCAGGTCTAACAAAAACAGCATTTAACAAATTAAAGTAAAATATACAGAGCACTCCGTATATAATAACAAGTACTCCCTCCGTCTATCAAAAATAAACTTGACACACACATAACAATGCTTGACTGAAACTATTTACAATTCCTTTTAATTAAATATTGAGTAAATTTCATCCCTAATTATAGGTGGTTTTTTCATATACAGTACCCAATCTAAGATTTACATAAATGGTCTTCAATTTTTCAGAATTGTTCCATAATTGGTCCTTTAGGGACTATTTGTGGAAAAAATATTTGGTCATATTTGACGTAAAGAACTATTTATGGAATACTTTTCAAAATTTGGGAACAATTTATGTAATATATTAGAATTAGAGACTAAATATGGAAAATTACCTAAAATTAGGGACCGTTTATGGAATTTACTTTTAAAATATTGGTATAAAATATAAAAATAAAAATTAAATATTAAAGAACTAACCAAAAGTTCTACAACTCACATGACTGTTGTTTTAACAAATGTTCAATGAAAATTTATAAAGAAAGAAGATATAATTTGAAATATGAATAGCGACTGTAAAGTTGATTTAAAGACGAAGTTGGTATGTAGGTAAGTGGCATACCGGTGGTCATAATGGCAGATTTGATTGCAGAGGGAGACCATGACGGATGGACAGATTTTATCAATGATACAATCCCAGTTACATGAGGGCAAGCCATGGAAGTTCCTGAGATGACATTAAAGTTCACATTTGCAGCTGCCGGCGACCATGCTGCCAAAATATTCAAACCGGGTGCCGCAATGTCTGGCTGTAGATGGGGAAAAAAAGCAGCAAGAAAAGTTTTAATCAATCCAGTCATTTTAGATTTTACCAGGCTCTTAATCAAGGAAGATTTCAGAATGGCCTAGCTCAAGAATGGCATTAAAGATGAGTGGACCATGTTAAGGGTACCCCACCTTCTCACAGACATCTACGAATATTTGATATTTTTGAATCGAATATTTAGGGTGGCATTAGCATTTTACAAAACAAATTGAGATTTCTGTTCTTTTTTTCTGCTGTACATTTGTTTTTGTTACACCATATTTACACCAGGGTCTGGAAAACAATTTACCTTCAAGATTGCCGGAGTCACAGAATTAGGACCTTTTGAAGAAAAGGCAGCCACGCGAGGAGAAGGCCGAGTGCCCAATACCGTCTTAGCTGATAGAATTCTTGACATGGGCGAGCTGTAAGAATTCAAATGCAATGTGCCGATTAAAATCCATAAAAGGTACTTGTATGTTCTTTTCCCTTGACGTTGCTTGGCAATGTCATGCGATAATCAAGGGACCCTACAGTGTCCCATTGGTAAAATTGACAGATCCTACACCCCTAACCCCCTTGGTAAACCCCCCACTCCGTCCCTACCCAAACCCACCCCCCACCTACTTCAATTACACTTCCAAGTTTATTTGACTTTGGAATCAAAATTTTGTCTGAGAGATAAAGAGAGTAATAACCAAACCTGGTTCTGTTAATATAAGAAAGTATTTCGTCTCCTGTTTGTTTCCCAACAACTGCAGCAGGGATGACAAAGGGAACGGCAACATCTTGATCAGCATCATCAATGAGAATCATCCCGGCCCCACCCGCTTCCTTAACCACCACACTCTTTGCAATCTTGGACTCGGTCGAGCTTTCAGCATGTCGACAGACAAGAACCTTCCCCCTCACCTTAGTTCTGTTCAAAGAGCTCTCCAGACAGTAACTGTTGAAAAAAGGGAGAAGCAGCAGATGGGTTTAGATGATGGGGAACAACAGATGGCTGGGATTTCATATTACAGCCAAGTACCTTGTTGCTTCACCTGGATTGGTATGGTGTGAAGTAGCCATTGAATGCCTTCGATGCAGGTATGATTCTTGCAAAGTTAGCCATTTCATCTGTGCTTAGGCTTACACCCTTCCGCATTTAAAACAAAAGCGAGCAAAACGTATAAGAACATGTGAATTGATGAATGGTTGTCAAGAAGTTGACATACTTTCTATGGGTTTTTTGCTCTATGGAATGTAAGATTAGCTTAGGTAACACCTCATTCGTTTCATAATTAGTACAGAATTCAGAAGCTTTGATCAATGTATTTTGGTGGTAAATATACTACCTCCATTTCTCAATTTAGTTTAAACTTGAATTTATGTTTTGGATGTTGATCCTTTAGCAAGTGTTATTTATACAATGTTAAAGAGGATCCCACGTCGGAACTTGAAGAGAAGATAAATCGGTATCTAAGTTCTTGAGTTGAAGTGTTGAACTAAGTAATCAATTGAATTCAATCTTTTAATGTGATTTAATCCAAGTGTTTTAGAACCAAGTCGGCTGGTTTCTAAATCTAAGGGTCCGTTTGGTATACAGAATTGACGAAATTGGAATTAAATTGAATTGAAATTCCATTGGATTCAATTCCATAGGATTGAATTCTACTGATTCCAATTCATTTTTTACACTATCAATTCTAAATCCACATAATTTTTGTACTACCAAACACCAGAATTGGAATTGAAGTCGTCAATTCCAATTCCATAATTTGAATTCCAAATCCAAAAGGGGCCTGAGTTTTCAATGGTGCCAAACCCTGGTTGTTGAGATGACGTACCGTGAAATTGACGCCGTTTGCGAACAGGATGTCAGAAGTGAATTCCCTATCGGTGGTGCTTGCAGCGACGGTGAGGATCCAAGGAGCGAGATTGATCGCCGAGCCATCGGTCCCTTGGTTTCCGGCGGAAGCAACCACCGCAATTCCATGGCTTGCGGCGTGGAAGGAGCCAACAGATATGGCGTCGCTGAAATACTCCGACTGGGGAGCGTCCGGCCCCAGGGACAGCGACACGACGTCAACTCCGTCTCTGATGGCGTCATCGAACGCCGCTAACAGATCCGCGTCGTAGCAGCCGGAAATCCAGCACGCCTTGTAAACCGCAATCCTGGATAAGGGCGCGCCGCCTCTGGCCTCTCCGGATCCCAGAGAGCCTCTGTAGCTCGCGTTCCGGACGTAACGGCCGGCGGCTGTCGACGCCGTGTGGGTCCCGTGACCGGAGCTGTCCCGCGCTGACCTGAATGCCGGCACGGCCTTATCAACATCTTCATCATCATCTCCTTCTTCTTCGGCTTCATAGCCACTGGTGTAATATCTAGCTCCGATGATTTTCCTACAACAAAACCATTTCTGATTTTAATTCCTTTCCGAAATTTTCCTTTTTTGGTTTGTCACATACTCCTTCATTCCCACTATGATTTCCTCACCAAATGATTTCCTCACCAAATGATTTCCTCTTTAACAAACAAGAAAATTTATTTTCCACTTAATTTTCTTTTCTTTAATCTCATTTTTGCAAACCATCCAATGCACTTCTTTAATCCATTTTATCTTATAATTTGTATATTAAAAAATTATAAAATTATATATAATAATCTATATGTTAAGACGAATCAAACAATATCACACATGACTATTTTTAGGACTTACACATTGAGAGAATTTGATGAGTCAAAGTGCTTAAATGAACAATTCCAAAAGTTAAAAATGGACAAACACTTAGAGACGGACCAAGTAAAATTTAATAAGAGTGTGAAAATAAAATACAAAGTAAAATAAAATAAAACCTGTTGCATGTAGAAGCATTGAAAGCTTCACCGGGTTGGCAATGGCCCTTCCATCTATCTGGCACCGGTGCCATGTCACCATCACTAAAGCTTGGAGATTCAGGCCAAATCCCTAATTTATATGCACACATATAAAAAATTATTTACTCACTTCCTACAAAATTACACTACATAACTTTGGATATTGTAACGAAAAAAGTATCTCATCTTTCGTTTGTAACAAAAAAAATTCATTTTTAAAAATTATTTCCTCCGTCCCACTCTCTTTGTCCACTTACCTTTTGGCATACCATCCAATACACTTCTTTAATCCATTTAATCTTGTAATTTGTATATTAAAAAATTATAAAAATTATATATTAATAATCTATATGTTAAGACAAATCAAACAAGATCACACATGACTATATTTAGGCTTACACATTGAGAGAATTTGATGAGTCAAAGTGCTTAGATGAACAGTTCCCAAAGTCAAAAGTGAATAAAGAGAGTGGGACGGAAGTAGTATAACAAAATACTGCCCTTTGGTCGAAAATGTGATAATCCAGCGAATGCTGAGTTAGCATTTGTGTTCACTTTTCTCTGCTCATACGTGTTATTTAAACATATTTTCTCTTCATAATACTCCGTATAAGTTAATTTTATTTTTACGGATTTTAGGGCATCATTTTTATTCTTCAATAAATAAATAAAGAATCTTTTTTTAAAGTTGCCATATTTGCGTGATTATTGTCGAATAAAAATATAATATTAATTTAAATTGAATTAACATGCATTTAAAAAATTTAAAAATTACAATTAATTCATTGCAAACAAGTTTCTTTCGAATTATTTTTGAATAATATAGTTTTTACTTTTATTTAAAAAAAGAAAAAATTATAATAAAGAGGGGATGTGGTAGTCCCCATCAAGAGAGCCAAACACAAACGTGTACATAACATGAAATAAGAAATTCAAAATTTAAAAAAATAGATTCTTGCTAATATAAAATTCTAAGAAAAAATGTTGTCCTAAAATTTTTCCAAGGTAAAAATAGATTTTTATTTAATGAACATGAAAATGCTGCCCTAAAATTTTTATGGAAACAAATGTTTGTATTATGAAGAGAAACGCATCTAGATAACATTTAAAAACACATAAAAGTCAACATAAATGCCGAATGCCAACTCTATATTTGTTCACCGAAATATCACAATTTTGACCAAGAAGTACCATTTTGTTATAATTATGTTTTTGTTATAAACGGTAAATATAGTTTTTTTTTGTGACAACTTTTTTTGTTAAAAAAAGACTATTATTGAAGAGTACAAGCAATATTTAACTGTTGAGCATGTGATATGAAGAGAAAAAGGTGAGTCTGAATTAATGTGGGGCAAGCCTATAAAAAGGTACACACCATGTCCCAAAATAAGTGTTGAATTAATTTTTAAAAAGTTCAAAAAAAAAAAGTCAAAGTTTATACGGAGTAGTTTTAAAAATTCAAAAAAAAAGTTCAAAAAAATAAGTTTCTTATGACTCAAAATGTTGGTCACATTTTATAAAATGAAGTGAAGTTTCAAGTTTTAAAATTCATTTAATACAAAGGTTTGTATAAAAATAAAAAATGAAATTCATAAATTTAAAAACAATGTCAAAGTTCTTCAAAACAAAGTTGAGCAGGTTTCAGATTGAACACTACGGTTCAGAATGAATATTATGTTCATTAAAAATAAATATTTGTCGAATGTACCTAGCGTTACATTCAACAGAGTATATGACATACATTCACTGAGACACTCATATTGTTAAATGAAAAATATTACTCCCTCCGTTCTTTTAAACCTTCCCATTTTGACTTTGGGCCAAAATAAAGTACTCCCTCCGTCCCCCTGTATTTGTCCACATTTGACTTTTGGAACTGTTCATCTAAGCACTTTGACTCCTCAAATTCTCTCAATGTATAAATCTAAATATAGTCATGTGTGATCTTGTTTGATTTGTCTTAACATATAGATTATTAATATATAATTTGTATAATTTTTTAATATACAAATTACAAGATAAAATGAATTAAAGAAGTGCATTGGATGGTGTGTAAAAATGAAAGTGGACAAATACAAGGGGACGGAGGAAGTATAATTTTGGTAGATTTTTTTATTTTACCTTTGATGTGATGGGTAAAAGTAAGATGTGATAGTTTTGTTGTTAGTGAAAAAGTATGATGTGATAGGTAGTGTATGAAAAAATAAGGGGTAAAAATGATTTTTAATAGAAAGTAAAAGTGTTTTGAAGAATTGAAAAAAAACAAAAGAGAAAGAGTTTTATGAAACGGAGAGATCAAAGTATAATTTTTTAAAGGTATATGTTACAATGCAAAAAGTTGAATCCCCACCCCCAAGCCCCCTCCCCCCACCCACACCCACTCCACGGGACGATAAGAGGCCAACCCCATATAAACGCAAGGAGCCTATTCTTATAGCTCAAAATGACATCAAAATATTACTTCCACACTATAGTACTACAGACAGTGAAAAATAAAAAATCGAACTTTGTGTCTTGTTGCAAGTCTTCTTAACATATTTGCGCTATAGAATATGTGGTCTTGCATGTGGGCAAGGCTATAAGTTTTTTTTTTTTTAGTTTGAATTGAGTGTGTCTAATCCTTTCAATTTTACATACCAAACAAAAAAGTTAGGAATTATGCATTTATGCACTTGATTCCCTTTTTTGGTGCTTCTTTATGCTCCAAAAAACATTAACACCAATAGAGAGGATGGGCACACAAATATTCAAATATGTTTTCCCATAATTTTTGCTCTATCTTTCCTTCGAGAACCCAATTTGTGACCATAAAAATTAGTATTAATGTTTTGAATAATTTTTTAAATTAAATTCTATAAATTATCCTTAATTATAGAAAATCTTTTGTATTTAGTCTTCAATTCTAAAATATTATATAAATGTTTTTCATATATAGTTGCATAAGGACAAAATGTGATATATATTTCAAAAAATTAAGAATGTTTTATGAAATATCTTACAATTAGACTAAATATATAAAATCAATTGTAATTCAAGATCAATTTTGACAACGCTATAGGATATAGGTAATGTCATTGTTAAATAGTCAATCTAAAATGTTAAAACTAAATGTTGAAAAATGTTGCCAGACGGGTACGTAGGAATAAGCATAAGGATCAGTCACAATCGGTTCTTTAGAAAGATCTATACAACTAATACAAGTATATCACAAAAGTGAAGACAAACCTGAATCAATGAAGCCAATGATGACATTGTCTTGGTTCTTGGTGGAAAAGCCAGGAACTTCCATGGTTTCTTTCTCACCATTAAGCCCCATAAAATCCCAAGAATGAGTTGTGTGAAGTGTCCTCTTGGCATTGGGGAACACTGATACAACTCCATCCATTTCTGCAATTAATTAATTAATTAATCCACTAATATTAAATGCTCTCATTCCTCTCAATAATTAATTACAGGGTAATTAACTAATCAAAACTGTTATTCTCATCCTTAAAACAACAGAGAGAGTATCCTTAACAGTCAAAAAAAGCAAAATTGTCAGGAGGGAGGGACTCACTGGCAATTTCAGAGGCCTGTTCCTTTGTCAGCTTTGCAGCAAGGCCATTAAAGCCATGTTTGTAACTGTACACATGAGATGCCTTGGCTCCCTCATCACTGCACCAAATCACCAACTTAATTATCATTCTGAATGACAGTCCGACCGGGTCTAAGTGCACACGGTATACCCATCACGCCCATATGCGTTATCTTCACTTTGACGCCTGGGGGCATTAAACACCGCCCCCCTCCCCCGTTATCGGGACGTTAAAAGCCCCGCATCATTCTTTTGACGTAATTTGAGGTGTGATAACGCCTCTTTCTTCTTTTTTTCTCCTTCTTTTTTCCTCTTTTCTTCTCTATAAATTAAATTAATTTTTTAAAAAATTCAACACAAATACAAATTTCTCTATCATCTTTTTTAAAAAAAATTATTATTCAACTATTTTTTTATTTTTTCATAAATGTAATTTTTTAATTTCTCGTTTCAATTCTTTTAAATAATAATTATTTAAATTTAATGAATTTAATTTTAGAAGATGTGTATTTAAAATGTATAAAATGAAGGTTTGAAGCCACCATTTCCAGTGAAACTGTGAGTTAAGTTAAAGCTAACATGGCAGAGAGAGAAGGTTTGAAGCCTCGGTTTGAAGCCCCGGGGCTTCATGGGTATTTCCAGTGCTCTAAAGAGACCCTCGGGGATGAGGCTCGTCCTTTTTAATTGTCATTCTAAAAGAAAAGGTGGAACGCAATCCCGAGTGTTCCCACACCCTGGTTGACCGCATAGTACGATGAGATGAATCATAGTATAATCTTAATCTAGCTTTTAGAAAAATTCTCTTGTGTCCGGTACGTACAAAGAACTACTCCTTATATCATTGAATACAACTCTCGGTGTCAAAAATCGATTCTGAGACTTCGAACTTAACACTCTTCCCTCAAGACCATCTAAGCTACCTATGCGTACACTAACTTATCACTCTCCCACTCAAACAAACAAAAGTCATGTTATATTCACATCAATTTTGAATTTTTGATATCAAATTTTGATGTCATGCCATTCACAAACATTCAGAATGAATCATATATGTTGTGTATGAAACATATGATATCAAGTATCAAATTTGGTGTAAGGAGACACATATGACTAAATATTTATTTTAAAAAGGGTAATTTTGGCGACAAAAAATGGTCACTAAAAAGGATAATATTCGAGTTTGATTCCATTCCTAAGAATCCTAACAACGGTTCGCTCAGGTATGTGGGGCATATCATTTTTTATTTATCAAAATAAATTTATAACTCAGTCTATATTATTCCCTCAAGACAAATGTAATGCAAGTGCCTTTTTGTCACTCAAACAAACAATTCTTCCTTTTTTTGTTAATTTCTAAATAAACTTAGGCTCCGTTTGGTATATTGAATTCAAACTACTCCTTATAAAAATTTGACATTATTATATACATTTTAAAATATACTCCCTCCGTCCCCTTGTATTTGTCCACATTTGACTTTTTGAACTGTTCATCTAAGCACTTTGACTCATCAAATTCTCTCAATGTGTAAGCCTAAATATAGTCATGTGTGATCTTGTTTGATTTGTCTTAACATATAGATTATTAATATATAATTCTTATAATTTTTTTATATACAAATTACAAGATAAAATGGATTAAAGAAGTGCATTGGATGATGTGTAAAAATGAAAGTGGACAAATACAGAGGAACGGATGGAGTAGTTTTTATTTATTTTAACAATTATTTACTCATTTTTAAATCGTATTTATTAATGGTCAAAAAATGAGATCATTTGACAAAAAGTCAAACTATATTCTTTTGGTTTTTGGAGAACATACTGCAATTAATTAAAAATAACGTACCATATGTCCATATCATTTACGAGAAGTGATATGCTAGGAAAAGTGTAATTGAACAAGAATTGACCATCACACCCTTATGAGATTATTGATTGTTTTTATTATTTGGGGATATAGTTGTAAATTAACATTCACAAATCATAACCTATTACATACTGGTCCTATGCCTACTCGGATCATTGTTCCTTTTTTAAAAATCCTCTATTTCATCGGCTTAACTTCCAATTATCAAAAAATTGCTCCTAAGTACCTCCAGTTTTGTAGTAAGAACTACCGGGTACCTCCAATTTTGAAAATATACTCCTAGGCACCCTGAATTATAAAAAACATACTAGGAGGGAATTTTCCATCCATTCTCCATCCATTTGAGTTTTTCCGTCAAGTTCATCATCATCATCATCATCATTCACCACCGTCTCCATCTTCTTCGGTCTTCCTCCCCCTCTTTCTTCTTTCTTCTTCTTCTTCTCCTCCTCCTCCTCCTTCCACTCTTGATCTTCCAAACCCCCAACCCCTCACCCTTATTTCTTCTTCTTCTCTTTCTATTATTATTATTATTATTATTATTACCGGAGTATTATTATTATTATTATTATTGTTATTGTTGTTGTTGTTGTTGTTGTTATTATAAGGAGAGTACGTATAATTTTGATTGACTTTTCAATTTTGTCCTTAATGTGATGAGTAAAAGTAAGATGTGATAGTTTGGTTATTAGTAAAAAAGTATGATGTGATAGCTATGGTATGAAAAAGTAGGGTAAAAGTGATTTTTTAATAGAAATTGAAAGTGTTCTAGGGAATTGGAAAAAAACGAAAGGGGAAGAATTTTATGGAATGGATGGTGTATTATTTATTTATTACAAAGTACGGAGTATAATTTTCTTTTACCTCTATTATTTATTATTATTATGAAGTAATATTTTCTTATTCTTCTTTTATTAATATAAAAACTAAATAATAGTTTCACTATTATTTTTAATACTAATAGTAATAGTAATAAGATAATAATGATAATAATAATAATACTAATAATAATAATACTAATAATAATAATAATAGAAAGAGAAGAAGAAGAAATAAGGGTGAGGCGTTGGGGGTTTGGAAGATCAAGAGTGGAAGGAGGAGGAGGAGAAGAAGAAAGAAGAAAAAAAAGAAAAAGAAGAGGAGGAGAAGGAAGACCGAAGAATTAAAGATGGAGATGGTGGATGATGATGATGAAGTTAACGGACAAACTTGAATAGATGGAGGATGGATGGTTGTATGTTTTTTATAATTCAGGTACCTGGGAGTATATTTTCAAAATTGAGGATACCTGGTAATTCTTACCACAAAACTGGGGGTACTTGGCAGCAATTTTTTGTCCAATTATGGTAGACATACTTTGGGCCAAAAGAGTTAATGTAAAAGGAAACAAAAATGTAGAAAGATTTTTAAAGACTGATATAGAAATAAAAATATAGAAATAAAAGTTTAAATTGATATAGAAATAAAAATGTAAATTTTATATTTAAAAATATGTGAAATTTTTTTCAAAATGAGAGGTAATAAAAATAATTCATTTATGAAATAATCAATAAAAATGTACAAATAAACAAAACATCTCGTGAATTTTGAATAGTGACTTTGACAATGTGAGTAGAAGTAAAAAAAAGAGAAAATACGAAAATATATAATTTATATTTTATACTGTAATAAGTAATAACGTAACACTGTATATTGAAATTCCGAAATATTTTTTTGATATTGTATGTTAAAAATTATTCATACTTTGACTCTTATTTTAGTACTTTTTGAATATTGTAGTCCTAATTTAATCTTTTTATCTTATTTTATCCCCGTATGTGAATAAGAATTTCTTGATTTATTGTGAAAAACAAAATTGCCATTTTCCCTAAATTAACAAAAATTAATAAAAAAATGAAAAAAAAAACATGCTCTATGTATCAAAATAAGACCATCGTTTTCATACAAAATAGAGATTCTTGCAAAACGTGGCGTTCAAAATTTTGCAAAATACTCCGTAAAATGCCAAAATTTTAAAATATCGACATACAATGACAAATTGTGGTATTTTAAAATGCGAAAAAATATAAAAAATCTTATTTTAAAACAGAGCATAAATTTTACATTTTAGTCCCATAGATTTTTTTAAAATAAGAATTGCAGAGTCATGTATATAAGAATATATGTGTTACCTTCCAGCATGAACAGAAGTTAGCATATAGTGATGTTTCTTCAAGATCCCTTCTTGTTCTTCCTCTCCCCTTTTGCTCCCCATGTACACAACATAAACCTTCGATCATTTCACCAAAATAGAAAGAAAAAATAATAATTATTCTCAAACATCCTTAATAACAAAATAAGAACAACATAATTAAATCCACTAGAATTATCTCACAACACATATTGATATTAATTCTTTGTAAAAAAATGCAAAATTTACCTTGGAAGAGAGGCATAGGGTAACAATATCTGCCAGAAAAACACAAAGAAAGAGCAAAAAAGCAATCTTTTTGGTGAGAATACACAAAGAACCCATTTTTATGATGGGTTTCCTGAAGAACAAAAATTGGTCTTCAAGATTATCAGGAACAGAGTGGGGAGTTCGGGGAAAAAGATGATGTTTTTATAGGACAGGGAGATAGGGGTGGGGTGGGTAGGGGGTGGGGTGGGGAGAATATGTTCTGATTCACAGGTTTACTGTGCTTCTTCTTCTTCTTCTTATGTCTCTCTCATGGCGGAAAATGGGGGAAAAGAATTGAATTTTTAATGAAAGAGAAGGGGAAGAACATTGAGACGTGAAGACTAGAGAGTGGATTGGCTTTTTAACTGAACCAACCACGAGGGCTTCCGCTTTTTTTTTTCTTTCCTTTTTTTTTTCCTTCTTTTTTCTTTTTACTTTATGACCGTTTAGAAAGGAGGAGTAATACTATGTTGATTGTGTTCTACTCATGTGCTAGTTGTTTGGCAATATGAATAGGAAAAATATCTACATCTTTCATCCTAAAAAAATGGCAAGGTTACTACTTACTATTGGAAATTTTGTTTATTTGTATAAGGTTTATCCATTAGCTCGGATTATTTGATAAAATAAAAATTTATAGTCACTTTTGATGAAATTTAGACGGGGTTTCTGAATATGTAAATTTTATTTTTTTTTATTTCTATACTAATCTTAAAATAAAATAAAATGAAAAATTTTAAAATTTTGTTTTTTTTGTTATGTTGCAAAAATTCTTGGATAGAAGGATGGAAGTATGAAACATGATCACGGAAGGCTTGTTGTTTGTGGACAGGAGTTTCCTGACATGACTAAGGTCATGTTCTCTTCACCTGATCTGATTAAAATAAATTTTGATCTGGTCTAATCTGATATGATACGAATGTAGTTATATTTAAATTTATTTTTAATCTGATCTAAACTAGTCTGGTCTGATATGATCTGATTCCAATAAAAATAAGTAATATGTAAACAAAAATAAGTTGGATGTTTATTGTTTTAATTATTTTATTACTTTTTATATTAATTTTTTTAAACATATTGCTATATAATTTAATAGCCAAAATGTTATGATAAAGATTGTGACGAAGTAAAAATTAAAATTATCACTAATTTTATGATAAAATCTATTTTTCATAGAGACTATTTTATTTTTTGGTGTTGCTTAATCCAACCTGGTTATGGCTAAATCCACCTCATTTTTATCGAATGGAAAAGTTTACCCTTAAAACTTGGCTAGCATCTATTTTTTTATATTTTAAAGGGTAAAATTGTCCATTCCACCATAAATTGAGTGATTTAGCTATAATGAATGTGGATATAACAACACCGTTTTTTATCCTCAGAAATTCAGAATATAAAGAAGTACAAAAATTTATGTATAACATGCAATCAATGCACATAGTAGAGAGTTAGAGATACGTCTCTATTCTTATTTTGTTTTTTTTTTTCCTTCAAAATTCTTAAACCAAACATATAAAATGTTACTCTCAAAAAATTCGTCAATCCGTCCAGGGAAGACCATAGACATGTCCAATTCATCTTTTTTGAACTAGGAGTTAAAAATGAAACTCATATTTACAATACTTTCTCAGTTCCAAAATGTTTGTCACATGTAATAGAAAATGAGTAAAAATTTTAAGTTATTTTAATTAATTTTATATGAAGATTGATGTGGAAATAAAAAATAAAAATTATATATTTAAAAATTACGTTAAAAATTCTTCAAAACAAAAGATGACAAATATATATTACTTCATCAAATAACCGATGAAAACCTATAAATAAAAAATTATGTGAATTTTGATGGTGAACTGTGACATTTTTTTGGACGGAAAAAGTATCGATCTAGCTCATATATAGTGGAATTTTTAATATATGTGATCTTAGTAGAGACATCATGTTTTGTATGTTTGCCTTGTTAGCCCAATTTTTAAAATTTGAGCTTAAAAAAGAAAAAACCAAACACCAATGTATCTCTTGTGATTCAGGATATTAATTATTAGTTGAGTTACGGTCACCGAAAATAATCATGGTTTTTAAAAATAAATTTGAAGAAAATTTTGAGATATAAAAGAGCAACCACAAGGAAATTATGTGGCACGTGGATTACATGTGATGTAAAATGGGTAAAGGATGAAAATATAATTTGATCATATTAATAGTAAAAAAGACATATTTTTTGTATTCTAATAGTAGTAGTAGTTCAACTCGTATGAGCACCTTAACTGGTCTCATAGAGTCAGAGGTGAAATTTGGAATTAGAGATCAAGGACCGAGCCTCACCAGCGGCCCCTATTGCCGGTTGAGTTACCATGATTAACATCCTCTTACATTTTTGTCGGGTAGGGAGTGAGGGGTGAACGATTTCGCCTTTTGAAATAAGTAATAGTAGTTCAAATTTAGCATAAATTTCTAAAATGAATTACTCCACCCGTCCCAAAAAGATATTCATGTTTCATATTTTGCGCATATCATGTTGGCAACAGAAGAAGGAAGCCAGATCAAAGAGGGAAACCGAATCCCTTTGGGATTCGGTTTAATATCTTTCCTAGTTTGCTTAGTTCTTGTTATAGTAGGAATAGAAATATGGTAGGAATAAAAGTTACTTAAATGCTTTACTCTCTTCCTATATAAAGGGGGTTAGACCTTTGTAAGCACAAGAACAATTCAATATACAAACTATTTTCTCTCTTATTAATTTCTACATGGTATCAGAGCAAGTTTTGAATTCTTGAGACCTCAAACACGCTTCTTCTCTTGCCGGTGGGCATACACAATTCAATGCCTACCGGCGGGATATTGTAATTTTTGATTTTCTTTGATTGTTCTCCCTCAATAAAGAATATCATGAACTCCTTCAACGAAAAACATTGCTGTCGAGGAATCCCGCCCAACCATCAATCTTGAAGAAGTTGTCCGAGAAGGGTTGTTCTACAGAGACAGACAACTCTTTCCATAGCAGGCAATAAAAAAAGTCGGCGTTCAGGGTGTTCGAAAAGAATGGCGTTCCCCCTGTTTGTTCGAATACGGTGAAGGTTCGAAAAGAATGGCGTTCCTTTACTCGACTGATTATTCGACGGATTCGAAAAGCTTGGCGTCTCCGTTGAAGAAAAAAAACTAAAGTGTCTAGATGACACTTGGACAACGATGGCAGCGGCTTCCTCAAGCTTTGTTGCTTTGTTCAATCTTTTGATGTCCAAGCTGGGCATGTTGAACTCCCATGCTCCAGCTTGAGGGGGGGTGTTGGCGACAGAAGAAGGAAGCCGGATCAAACAAGGAAACTAAATCCCTTTGGGATTCGATTTAGTATTTTTCCTAGTTTGTTTATTTCTTGTTTTAGTAAGAATAGAAATATGGTAGGAATAGAAGTTTACTTATATGCTTTACTTTCTTCCTATATAAAGAAGGTTAGATCTTTGTATTCAAGACGAGAGTTTCACAAACCAATTCAATATACAGGGAATTTCCTCCCAAATAATTCTTTCAAATATCTTTCCTAGTTTGCTTAGTTCATGGTATCAGAGCGAGTTTTGAATTCTTGAGACCTCAAACACGCTTCTTCCCCTGCCGGTGGGCATACAAAATTCAATGCCTACCGGCGGGATATTGTAATTTTTGATTTTCTTTGATTGTTCTCCCTCACTAAAGAATATCATGAACTCTTTCAACGAAAAACATTGCTGTCGAGGAATCCCGCCCAACCATCAATCTTGAAGAAGTTGTCCGAGAAGGGTTGTTTTACAGAAACATGCAACTCTTTCCTTAGCAGGCAATAAAAAAAAGTCGGCGTTCAGGGTGTTCGAAAAGAATGGCGTTCCCCCTGTTTGTTCGAATACGGTGAAGGTTCGAAAAGAATGACGTTCCTTTACTCGACTAATTATTCGGCGGATTCGAAAAGCTTGGCGTCTCCGTTGAAGAAAAAAACTGAAGTGTCTAGATGACACTTGGACAACGATGGCAGCGGCTTCCTCAAGCTTTGTTGCTTTGTTCAATCTTTTGATGTCCAAGCTAGGCATGTTGAACTCCCATGCTCCAGCTTGAGGGGGGGTGTTGGCAACAGAAGAAGGAAGCCAGATCAAAGAGGGAAACTGAATCCCTTTGGGATTCGGTTTAATATCTTTCCTAGTTTGCTTAGTTCTTGTTATAGTAGGAATAGAAATATGGTAGGAATAAAAGTTACTTAAATGCTTTACTCTCTTCCTATATAAAGGGGGTTAGACCTTTGTAAGCACAAGAACAATTCAATATACAAACTATTTTCTCTCTTATTAATTTCTACATATCATAGAACACTTCTACTCACATTTAAAATTTACCATATTTTTCTTTATTGTGCGTAGAAGTTATTTTGAAATACTTTTTTAGCATTTGAGGCAGGGTAGAAATATTTTATGGATGTGTAAAAAATAAAAATACTCCGTATATTTTAGAGATATTTTTTTGGATGGATGAAGTATAAAAGCATAGTGACTTCTAATTAAGCACTTCGCGGTCAAAATTAAGGCACATGCATTATTGAGGGTTGATTCCCAGGAACATTGACCGTTTCCGAACTACGGAGTACTAGAGATGACAGTATTGGCCTTATTTGAGAAGAATATCTCTCATTATTTTTTATAATTTTTTATTATTGCAATTTAACTTGCTGTATTTTAGAAACATTAAATTCAAAAACTGTCATTGGTATTTTTTCTGTTCCAAAAAATATATTATTTCATTTTTTGTGCATTCCATAAAATACTTTTACCCATATTTATAATGTCTAATTAAAATTCGCCATATTTTTTTAATGCAAATAGGTAGAAGTTGTTTAAAGAGTATTTTAGACACTTACTGTTGAGCAAAAGAATTTTATGAGATATGTAAAAAAACAAATTAGCAACATTTTTTAGAAACGAATGGAGTATTTATTTTAATATACTAAAGTTATTGTCAAACAGGCCATAATAGGGAGCAGAGAGTTTGAAAATGTCATTTTCTTATATACGAATTATAACCCTTCCATTTAGAAAAAACTTTTCTTATATTTTGTTATTAGATGTCTCAAAAAACACTTTTCGTTCATTTTATATTTTTAAAAGTTATAAACATTTGTTTCACAAAATTTATTTCTCATCTGAACAAGTTTTAAGCATACATTTCTTATTTTTAATAATATTTTTCGAAAAATCTAATATATGGAAGTAATTAAGTAGGATGTTTTTTGGGGAGCGGATGAATTATTATTTATAATGAATTTTCAAAACTATATTTTCTAATAAGGTATTTTTTTTAAAATTAATACGGAGTACTTAATAACTACTCTCTCCGTCCCACAAAAAAGTTCTCATTTTTAATAGTATTTAGTCAACTATTTACACTCTTTGACTACAAATTGTGAGAAAGGTATATTGAATTATGAAATAAATTTTATATAATTAGATTCATCTTAGGATCTAGTTTTGATATCTCAAATTTTGTTAGCATTTCTTTATTTAGATTATATTTAATTTAAGGTCAAAGTGTGCAACAGTTTGACCAATTTATGGTCAAAATGTGAACTTTTTTGTGGGACGGAGGGAATAATAATTACCAATGTGGTCTTTGTAATTGACATGTATTCTCTATATAGTTTTCTGTCAAGACTATTTACTAAATGACACTCAAATGGAAGGAGTTTGGGTATATTACATATTTAAACTATAAATAAGTCCTCAAAATAGTTCTTTCAAATTAAGTGGTTGTATGCTAGAGGATTGAACCAACCCCGAGTAAGCTCATATATGGACTCCATTAAGAGTTTACTTGGGAGCAATCAGGAGTTTGGATAAATATTAAATTATAAAGAAACATTTCGAAAGCATACTTTAAGTCTTGATGATAGAAAATATGAAAATATCGTCAATTTGCTTTGACATTTAATAGAGATTTTTGCCAGAGAATCATTTAAAGAATAAATCTAAATTATAAACGACCATGCAGATAATTATTACTTATTGAAACTATATAATTACAGAAAACACTTTATTCAAAAAGTTTTTTTTTGAGAATTCACTCAATTATTTCTTGTGTTTAATAAATAAAGATGTTACGTGACATACAAATAATGAAACCAGGCAACAAATTAAACATGTCGTGGTTTCCATATTATCATTTCCTTGGAATTGCGTAGATAGATATGATTTGTGTAGCTTGGAAGCAATGCCAAAACACTAATGATTAGCAGCATTTATTTCTCAAATTTAATTATGAGTAATTAATAAGCAAGATTATGTTAATGGAAAATACCATGATGCCAGCGGCTTTGTTTGGGAACAGCGTTTTTAATTAGCGTTAGCGTTTTGGATAAAATTTTAATGGTGTAGATTAATTCTGAAAACGCCAACTCTAAAGACTACCGTCGGATAGCCTTTTCAAAGCGCTAACGCTAATAGCTAACGCTGATGCCAAACGGGGCCGCTATCAAGAGCGTAGCATATTAAAATAATCATGCAAAATTAGACATACGGATTACATAATTACTCTCTCCCCTCTCTAAACATTTTTTATCTACTTTTTCTTTTTTGACAAAAAAAAAACTAGATCTTATTAGCTTTTACTTTTCATTAGCTTTTTTAACAAATAATAATGAACTTATTACTAGATCTTATTTGAATAAATTTAATCATATTTTTCGTTTTCTACATTTTTCTTAAAGTATGTAAAAACCAAACAAGTAGCTAGAATTCTAAAAATGGATTTAGTGTACATAAAATATAATGAGATAAGAGCATCCACACTCGCTCATTCAACTCATGCTACTAAACTTTTTTTTTAAATTTGTACTAAAAAAACTTCTTTTTTGTTTGTGTAATTATGTATGAATATTTGTCCAGTTTTGACTTTTTTTTTGTCAAAATTGGTGAATTTCGACCTTAAATGGAATAAAAATAGTACTATTAGATATTGATTCAAAAAACTCCGTACTTTTTATTAAATTTATTATATCAAATATTTTCAAAATATTATTTTATCTAATTAATATAATATATATATTTTATTTAATTATATGTCAAAGGTTGAAAATGATTGATCAAAAAAATCAAAATTAAACGAATATTCAGGGACGGAGGTAATAAGTTCTTTTGACATTAAAGTCAATTTATGTCATCTTATGACATTTGTTTAATTGAAGAAAAATGTTAGGGGTACACCAAGGTGTATCCCATTTGTCCCCCACCTCCTCCTCCACCACATAAATGGGCAAAAAACTTAAAAATAAATAAATAATTAAAAATAAAATAAAAATGTAAGATAGAAAAGGGGGTGGGGGACAAATGGGGTACACCTTTGGTGTACCACTAGCATTGTCCTTAATTGAAATACATGCATTCATATGTTGTATCCGAAAGTGGTTCTTATTCTCCTGATCTCCTTTACAACTCCATTATTATCCTAGCCCCTTAGTCTGTACTTAACACTAATATATGTATTAATTCTCTCCATACGGATTACTCCCTTTATCCACTTTTTTTCCTTTTTGATGGGGTAACAACGGATAAAGTATCAGGTAAAAATAATCACTTGCTTATAAAGTTGGGATCCACTTTCTAGCCCAAAATTTAAGCTAATAGGTGTGATTTCAACTTTTTATATATGCTAGTGGTATTCTTCTTTATTTTTCAATGTGGGAACTCCAACACTTCTCATTTCGAAGAGCATGCAAAGTCTCATCTTTCTTAAAATTATTTTATTTACAAATTCGTCAATAAATCAATGAAGAGTATATATAAATTTCATTATCCAAAACTACATACAAAAATTTATAAAACAAGATGTAATAAAATATATCATTTTATCAATTGATTAATGAAAATATGTCATTAAATAAACATAAGTTATCGAAAAACCATAATAGTAAGTGAGAAGAAAAAAAGAGACATATCGAGTATAGTTTAATTTTTATACAATTTAATTCTGGCGGTTTTTTACCAATATAAAAGTATAACTAATGAATTTTGGTTAAAATAAAATTTCACTTTTAATCTTTTTTGTAAAAACACTGAGATCATTTGAGAGTCAACATTTTAAAAATACTATCTAACTTAGTGTTAATCTTTACAATTTTCAAAGTTAAGCTATGTTGGTAGGCGTTGCACAATTTGCAAGGCATGTGATGTCTAGGGGTAATATCTGACTTTGATTCATGACAATTGTGTTGAAAAGAAGTCATGCTAAGCATAAGGTTTCTGCAAATGCTAGGTGCAGGTTTCACATTTTACCACCAATACGTGATTAAATTCCTATTTACATCTTTTTAGGTGACCGTCTAACCGGTTCTGTGGGGCCATCAGAAGATACGGTTCATCTTTGTTTTAAGTTAATCTATACTATTACTTCATAAATTTTATTTAAAACTATAATGCGAGATAGCATAAATTTTATTAAAAACACTGCTCTCAAACAAACTAGAAATTCATCACAAATTTCTTACATTGTATTTTTTAGTGAAGAGAAATTTCAAATTACGTGTAACAAGTGAAAAATTAGTTCCATCCAGTCAATTCATATAAGGACTTACATTCTCCTTAGGGATGAAGTTATACTTGTTGGCACAATTTTCTATTTGTTTACACGCAATGTCAAAAACTATTTCAATTAAATTAAATGGTCCAAAATTTGAAATGTATGAGAGATATGTTACAACTTTTGAAGTGACTCGTTCGCCGACATTCGTATAATTGTAAAACCTTTGTACGAGATAGCAATTAATTCCTACAGGGAAGGTATATAACTATATATCCAAAATCTTCGATGCAGTAGATTGATACTATTTCCTCAAGGACTATTATGGTGACTCTATTGCGTTTTGTCGTATATGCGTTTCAAATGTTGTTTACAATGTCTTTGCTGTAGATCTTACACAGTGTCCTTGTTGTTGTTCATATTATACTCTGTGTTGTATCTTCATCCTAGTTTGTTGCTTTTCTCTATGACATAATGACATCGTTGTCGGGCGCATACTGTTCTTTTTTTTCAAGGTCATTGCAAGTTGCAATTTTAATTTTTTTTAATGCGGCTGACTTTTTATAATGTAGTTTCTGTTTAAATTATTTTCAATTTATATGATGCTGAAAGAGAAAATGCTTCTACCTCCGCTGATACTCGAGCATGAGTAAATTTCCCCATAAATTATGTGAAGTAGATCTCATATCACTCTCGCCAAGAAGAGAAGTTTTTAAAAGTTATCTTTTAATTTCATTCTTTTGTATATATTCAAATTATTTATTAACTCAAAATTTTTTTATTTTATTTTCTTGGCCTTGATTTCTAACCTTACAAATCAACTATGGTAAGACATCATACCTTACTTTCGCAACCAATATTCTTTCCTCCTTTTCACATTTTCTATAGAACTTTCAAATAACAACCAAACAAATCCAACCCGCCCGCCAAAGCCCAGTCAAACTTCCCAACTCAATTCATTCAAATACGAAGGAAACAAAATGTGCGGCGGCCTTTTCGGAAGACTCCTAAAACCCTTCATCAGGAAACCCAGCAACGTCGTTCCTCTTGCCGCCGCCGTCGCTTCCGCCGCATTGACCACCGGCCAGGGGAATTACGCCGCGATGGAAGGCAAAAATCACCACAGGACTAGCGTCTGCATCATCGGAAGTGGTCCCGCTGCCCACACCGCCGCCATCTATGCCGCCAGGGCGGAGCTCAAGCCCATCCTCTTCGAAGGGTTCATGGCGAACGGCATCGCCCCCGGCGGTCAGCTCACCACCACCACCGATGTAGAGAACTTCCCCGGCTTCCCTGCTGGCATGATGGGATTCGAGCTCATGGATAGATGCCGCGAGCAGAGTCTTCGTTTCGGGACGGAGATCCACACCGAGACTGTCTCTCACGTCGATTTCTCTTCCCGTCCTTTTAAGGTCTTCTCCGAGGAGAGAACCGTCGAAGCCGATGCTGTGATCGTGGCTACCGGCGCTGTCGCCAAAAGGCTCGAGTTCCCCGGCTCTGGATCAGAAGAAAACGGATTCTGGAACCGTGGTATATCGGCCTGTGCCGTCTGCGACGGTGCTGCTCCTATTTTCCGCAACAAGCCTTTGGCTGTGATCGGGGGTGGGGATTCCGCCATGGAAGAAGCCACTTTCCTGACGAAGTACGGATCCAAAGTTTATATAATTCACAGGAGAGGCGAGTTTAGGGCTTCCAAAATTATGCAGAACAAGGCGCTTAAGAACGATAAAATCGATGTGATCTGGAACTCATCTGTGGTAGAGGCTTATGGAGATAAGAGATTGGAAGGACTCAAAGTGAAGAATTTGGTTAATGGGGACGTCTCGGATCTGAAGGTTTCTGGGCTGTTCTTCGCAATTGGGCATGAACCAGCCACCAAGTTTCTGAATGGGCAATTGGAATTGGATTCCGATGGGTATGTCAAGACGACGCCAGGGACTACCCTAACCAGTGTTAAGGGTGTTTTTGCAGCGGGTGATGTCCAGGATAAGAAGTACAGGCAGGCTATTACTGCTGCTGGATCAGGTCAGGGCTTGTTATTAACAATTTGCTTCTTCCCCAATCCCATTGTTTTTGCTTGTTTAAACTTTTGGTCTTACCAGATTATTTTGCATGTTTGTGTTTAGAGAAATCATTATGTGGTTCATAGAAAACTGAAAACCTCATAGAACTTACTTCACAAATCTTTGTGCTCAGTCAAAGTAGATATCCAACTGGGTCGTTGTTGTTGTGTATAAAAAGAATGTGGCATGTTAAGCTGGAAGCTTAGTTATATGAGAGGTCACGAGTTCTAAATTTGGTGGAAACACTTTTTATTCAAAGAAGGTTGAGAGTGGAACCCGTGGAGAAGTTAAGGTGGTTTGGGAACGTAAAAAGGAGAAGTGCAGGGCTCTAATCAGTAGATGCAAGAGGCTTGCAGTAGTGGACACGAGTAAGATAGTGGGAGACCTAGGAAGATTTGGAAGAATGTGATTATACATGAGTACATGATTATAGGCTTCAGAATCTTACCAATGATATGACCTTATATAGCAATACTTAGTAAGCTAGGATTAAAAAAATTGCATTGATTTTTTGGCATTAGTTTGTAGATTTTGCTGCAATGTTTTTTCCCCTTAGTCTGTAGTTGTGATATCTGTCTTTTTTTGTCCTTAGGCTCTGGTTATTATTGTTGGTATGAGTCTTTCTTTCTTGTGTTTGTACTCTTACCTTGTCTGTGCTATTTTGTTAACCCTGTCTATGCTTCTGTGTTTGAGCAATTGATCTCTTGGAAACAACATTTCTACTTTCAAGTAGAGGTCATGTTTGCGTACACACACCCTTCTCACACCGTACCTTGTAAGATCTTACTGGGTTTGTGGTTTTTTTTGTTTATGTTAACATAAGTCATAGACTCATAGGAAACATTGTAGAGTATAATATCTATATATCTGTTGATGTAGCAATATTAGCCAGAAGGGGTTAAATTGTTAAAAAAAGGGAATTCAACGGTTCTTTTATTTTGAGTTTGCTTGGCATTAGTAGCTTCAACGTTTAGATTTAGCCTATTGGATAAGCTATCCAGCGGTATCCTTTCAGCTATAACATTTTTAAAGTTAATCTTCACAATTTTAAAATTACGGAGTATCTAGAAACCTTAACACTCTTACAAATGTCGTTCCCAAACAACAATTCAATCAATAGGATGATGATTTGGCTAAGTTGGCTTAAAACAGGCCTTACTATTTTCTCTAATTAAACAAGATTTTTTTAAAATGTTTCGTAATGGATCTTTTTACATAAGGAATGAAAAAGGTGCATGAAATAGCAAAAACACAAATGCAGCTCGCTAGTGTAATGAGCATCTGGACATTGCCACCTCATGATGTGACTCTATCGGATGCTCTCTGACTATGCTAATGTGTTTTACTATGGAGCCTAGCATGCTTACTTGCCTTCATACAATCTTGCATGAAATACTCTGGCTTTTTAAAATATGCAGAAGTGGCAGTCCACCACATGAAAATGAGGTTTCCATTTTTAAAAATTGCACATTTTTGTTTTTCAATAAACGAATCACGGTGAATCACAAGATTTTATTATCTATGCCACCTGCACACAAAAGTGAATGGTGTCACACTAGACACATTTGAATTTAGAATTGCAAATTATTTTGTACTCAATAAAACAAATCTCTTCACCAAGACACCAACTACCTAACCCCTCACTTGCCTAGTTGTATGTATGCTGTAGCCTCTTCCATGTGTTTCATCCACTCCAATCCCTCCATTTTTGGCGAGCTTATGCTTCAGGACACTGATAAACTGCTGGTCGTTATTGTTTTGTCCATTTTCTTTCCTTTTCATTAAAGAACATAGTCCTTGGCCCTGCTTCTGTGTTTGAGTTGGGATTCTATTGGAGATAGTCTCTCACCTTCCAAATAAGGGTAAGGTGTGTGTACACACACTCTTCCGAGATCCTACTCTTGTAGGACTTTGCTCGGTTTGTTATTGTCGTTGTTGTATTAAAGACAACATGGTTTTCTTTAGTCTTGTTTCCTCTTTATTATTAACTCTCTCATCAGTTGATTATATATTCTGAGGGTTGAGAATCATTATACTATCCTACGCACATAACGATATGTCTGTGTGTCTCTCTGAGTGAGCTTCTTTGAATCACCAACAAAAGTTAATGTGTATTTTTAGTGAACTATTCATTTTTTTGCATACAAGTTTACAAAACGGTATAGGCCCGTTTGGTCGAGTTGCATGTATATTTGCCAACTATTAGGAAACTTTGGTTATCGGATGTTTATTTGAGCTTTCTAATATTGTCTGTTTTTATTTATGTTTTCTTGACATATGGTTATGCTTGTCCTTTTATAACCAACAGTTTTCTTTCTCTCTTTTATCCTTCTTATTATCCTTTCTTCATCCACTGGTTCTCTCATTTTCCCTTCTTCATTCACTTATTTGTCTCTCAATCACATCTCTCAACTTCTCTCTAACCAAACAAAGCACATGTGTTTACCACCACCACCACCTTGCCTGATGGAGTCAATAGCATGAAGTTTAATTTCCATTATTCCATTAATTACTTTAAACTATAAATTCATACCAAAAAAAAAGAATCAAAATATGATGATATATGTCATTAAGTTTGGATAGTTATAGTCATGTCTTATATTTGAAATTGATAATGCAAGATTGGATTGTGTTCATTTGTTGTTACGACAACAAACCCATTAAAATCTCGTAAAAGTAGGGTTTTGGGAGAATGTGTGTATGCATAACTTACCCCTACTATGTAGCAGGTCTTATTTTGGAACAATATTTTTAGTGGTGTGGATTAACTCTAAAAATGCTAAAATTTATAATGTGCTAGAGAGTTTGTTTTCTTCTAATAACTATAATGCAAAGTTTAAGAATGTTTTGTGCTTCTTCTTCTTCTCATGTATAGGATGCATGGCGGCATTAGATGCAGAACATTACTTGCAAGAGATTGGTGCCCAAGTGGGAAAGAGTGATTGATTTGCTTGCGGTGAAGGATTATTGGTTAATTTTACACTGAGATTAAAGCATATTTAAATATGTTCCAAAAAGACCCATCTGTATTTATTTGTTTTAGTGCTTATTATTGGGTAGTAACATTTGCCCTTGCTCAATGCCCTAATTATAAGGATGATGCTATTTGAATGCAAAATGCAAACTAATCGCGAGAATCGTATTACGAATAGTCCCGGCAATGTCACGAGAAAAAAAAAGACATTTGCATTATAGAGATGTTTGTCTTGTGTCAAAAATAATGATTGTTGGTATATGTTTGTGAAACACCTTGGGTTAAACTTTTTCAAACTTGATAAATTTCAAACTCTTATAAGTAATACTGCTGTCTCATTAGACAAATTGCATTTTATTTACACTTTATGTAGTACTATTTAGGTAATAAATATGTTATTCAATATGAGCTTGTTAATATTAAATTTATAGCATTATTCAATTTTTTTTCCATAATTTGTAGTCAAAATTTTTAAAAAATTGACCTTGAAAGTCAAAGTGGAAAGATTAAAAAGGGGCCGAATGCGCAAATTATATTGTACATTTGGCTGTACGGTTCTTCCCGTACAGTCGGACTAAAATTGATCGGAATTAGGGTTCAATCAGCCGCCCACCTCAACGTCTTCGTCGCCATGTTCATCTCCCCCGTCTCCAGCATCTTGCTCTCCGCCCTCCTCTGTCGCCGTAACAGCTCTGTGACTCCACGATGAAGGCAGCAGGTTAGGGCGAAATCGATCTTCCGATCCGAGATTCCGCTATTCCAGTCGCTCTAATTCAATCTTCCGATCCTAGATTCCGTCAGATCTGGTCTCTAATTCAATCTGTTCTAATTCCAAGGTCCTAGATTTTAGATTTCTATGAATGATATGTTATTTAAGAATGAGTACTAGACTGTTTGAGAATGAGTACTATTAGGTTTTAGAATGAGTATTACGTTATTCGTAAATGAATATTGTACAAATCTGTGAAAATGAGTACTACGTTATTTTAGAATGAATATTGCTTTATTTAAAAATGAGTACCACTTAACTTCAAAATGAGTACTACCCAGATGTACCTATCTTTAGGTACATCCAGATGTACCATATACGAATCCGGCCGAATGAGAATATGGTTATTTTTTTTTAATTTAACAACATCTATAATTAAATAAATTAAATAAGAAATAATTTCAATCAAAATTTATAAAACAATACCAGAATAATATTTTAGATGGGGAGAGTAATATCTATCACGCTGACACGCTCCATATAAGAAAGACCCATCCCTTCAAATAAATAAATAAATAAAGATCCATAATTAATTTTATCGTTGGGAGTTCAAATTTGCAATGGATTTTGGCATGATTTTCTAAAAGAATTTATTTGGCCGTAGAAAGAAGCCTCATAATAGATCAATCTTAACACTTGAGGACTTTTTCCACCCAAAATAAATAAATAAATAAATAAATAACTTGAGGACTTACATACAAAAGGAGCTCAACCCTATTGATTCTATGCCACCCACAGACAAATGAGGGCCACTTAATCCATTTTGTCTATTTACCCTTTCTTAATTAGAATTTGCACATTTTTGACCGAATTTGTGAATAAGATAAGTTTAATCATAACGTTAACTTTTGGCATTGCTTTTTAGCAACATCAATTCAAAAATTTACCAAGGGTTACCCTAATTTTGTGGCAAAAACTACCAAATTCTAATTTTCAAAATATACTTTCAGGTACATTAAATTATAAGAAAATTTACCTAGGGGAGACTTTCCATCCATCTTCTGGCAAATATATATCTATGTCATTTTCATCATCACCATTATCACCACCATCACCGTCTTCTACGGAGTACTTGTTAGTTATTCATCTTCTTCCTTAATTCTTAATTCTTTTCAAATATCACGGATTCACGGTTAAAATGTTACGCTTAAAATCATAAAAAGTCAAATATCATGATTTAAACTATATTAAAAGATGAAATTCAACCAATTATGCATATTTCAACACAAAATCTTGTTCAGTTATCTCGAAATACTTAATATTTTTTTCCTAATTTTTGATGTGAAAGACTTTAAAGGATTCCTTTGTGTTTTTTACAGGGTGTGTCAAGCCAATGGAGCAGCACAAGCCCAAGGTGACACATGAAAGCCCAAGTAGCAAGAAACTTAAATGGGCTCTCCCCCTAAAAATTAAGTAATATTGTGGAAGCTTTAACCTATCAATATTTATATGGTTATTCCAATCTCAATAGTATGAGGTCTTTTGAGAGTTGTCTAAAAACAAATTCGTGAGAGTTTGGTCTAGAACGGATAATATCATACTAATGCGGGGTAGGAGTGAAGGCACGCGTGGTCCCAACAACTTGTTTCTATTTTTTTACAATTAAAGACATTTTAAACTTAAATCCAAATATCTTCAAAACACCTCAGATACACCTACACTTTTCCTTTTTTTTTTTGAAAATTACTAGGGGTGCAATAAAACTATATCAGTATATCCCATTATATCTTAATCATACAATTGTAGTGTGGATACAAAAATTGATGAATAAATAAAGAACTTACGGTGATGATTTGTGGGAAGCATGAGAGATGAAGAATAGTATTAATTATTTTCATTTTTCCATTTGAACTAGCAGAATTAATTTGAACTTTCAAATTTTTTTAAATAAATTATCACGATTATTCTAAAATTTGAGATCTCTTAAAATAACTTCCAGAAGAAATATTGTGTTACTAGAATATTTAATATGACAAACATAAAATATGGAGTAATGAATAAATTAAAAGCCCAAGTAGTACAAAAGGGCTAATAACGTAGCTTTTTGTTTGTTTTCTATTTCGATGTATTAGGCAATCACATTATCCGAATAAAGAACATTAGAAGAAAGGTTCTATCATAAAATCATAATTTTATTCAGGTTTAGAAAAGTTAAGATATCTACAATCTCACCAATATACAAATTGAAACTTCATAGAAAAGATTAAGATAAGAAGTAAGTACAGTTTAATGTGTCATTTTGATTTGATCTATTATATGTCTGAAGCTAATTAATAATAAGTTTTAGCTCCACTAGCAATGGGTAAAAAAATAAAAATAAGTGCTCAAGTACTCCCTTTTTCCTATAAAATGCTCTAGAGCTTGAATTTCATAGAATTTAAAAAAGTATTGGAGCATAAATAGGCTATGATCAAAATTTGTATAGATGAGGGATCAATGTTGTCGGGTAGGGAGTGAGGGGCACTCGGGGTGAGCGCTTTCGTCTTTTGCAACAAGAGGAAGCATTGTTGTGAGCTACATAATTATTAAGTGTAAAGCTTTTTTAAATGTTTTACAAAAATAAGTACTCAACATACTAAGAAGCTAAAATAGAGTATTAAAAACTCTATTATACTAAGTATGTCCAAAGCTAAAACATTGTTATTAATAAGTTTTAGCTCCACTGGCAATAAACGAAAAATTAAAAATAGGTACTCACATACTCTCTCTGTCCTAAAAATTGTTATACTGTTTTGACTTTCATAGAGGTTAAAAATGTTTAAAAATAAAAAGTCTATTATTAGAATTTGTATAGCTGAAACAACAATATTATGAGCCACATATTCATTACTAAAAGAAGAAATAAATTTAGCGTATATTTTTTTTAACGTTCGAAAAAAAAGTAAAGCATTTTATGAGATCGGGGGAATATAATTTTGAGTGACAATCACAATTAATACACTAATAAGTTCCATTTGGAGATGCCCCATAGGCCTTATACACTCCTAACTTACATTGTTTGTGTGGTCTTAAAATAGTATTACAAACACAACTTTTTAAAGGTAGAGTAAAAAACAAGAATCAACAAACAAATGAAATATAAAAGGGCAGCACTTACATAGTAATATACGGAGTAATTAAGAATGGTAATAAATCATCAAACTCCTATACCAAGTTGTCCTCTTGTATAGACCTTTCCATGGCTTCTTCAAAGCAATACAACAAGATCCCATTATTGAGATTCATGTATGGTTTGGTGGAGACTGGAAACTGGAGACTGTAGTTTGAGAGTTTTGTGCATTTGATTAGGAATTGCAACAGGGTTGGGGGTTAGGAAATGTGTTAGACGACGAGTGTGAATTTACTCCCATGTCCCTATTAAGTTACCGTTTGATAATTACCGTGTGGGTGGAAATGACGTTAAATTCACCCCTATCGACCGACGCATTTCCAAAATCCCCTCCCTGCCCCTATCGTCGTTGCTCGTTAGAAGAGGGTACCTTGGTGACATCTTTGCTGGACCTATTGTACTTCAAGTGGCTGCTGACAAGTTGGCCTGATGAGATTGCAGACATAAGGGATAGCTCCCCAGCAAGGACTGAGCCTGCAACAATGGTTGCCAAGAGCCTTGCATTTGATCCTGGGGAGTCCTTGTTAGCACCCTTCACTCCTAGTAAGCTCAAGCAGGCAGACTGTGATGCCAGCTGGGTCCCACCTCCAACTGTCCCCACCTGAACCAAGATATATGGGTATAAATGTGCTGTAATAATGCATTGAACACACTCAAGTCAAAAGCCATGGCTCAATGGGGATGTGTTTAAGATGTATTGTATTTAAGTATTCATTGAATGTGTGGGGGTGTGGTGGGTATCTCTGCATTTTAAAGATATTTCAAACTGAACATATCTAAGTAAAATCTGAGTCTTTTAAGTACTAGCAACACATTTATTATGGAAATTATAATGTGAAACAACATATTTTGCAAATGAGTGCGGTTCTTTTGACACTCCTTTGGGCCTTGGGTGTCATAATATGACTCTATGGAGCTATGGTGCTCCATTGGACACTGGTTCTTACCCCAACCCCAAGCTGGAGGACTTGTGGGGAGTTAAGGGGTATGAACCATTTCGAAGTCCAACAGAGCACCGTAGGACCCTCAAATGGCCAGTGTCATATACCTCAATAGAAGGCATGGTGACAGAGACGTGAAGGTCCTTGCCGTCATTAACAGGCTCCATCATTGTGATACAGTGAGAGCTTTCCACATTCTGTGCCGGGTCCTGACCAGTGGCTATGAACACGGCAGACACAATGTTTGCAGCATGTGCATTGAAACCGCCAAGGGAACCTGCCATGGCTGATCCGGTGAGGTTCTTAAGCATGTTCAGCTCAACAAGGGAAGAAACACTGGTCTTCAACACCTTCTTCACCACCTCTTCCTTTATTATTGCTTCACATACAACTGACTTGC